GCTGCTCAGCTCGGGCTGGACTCGAACCGCTGTTGCTCAGAGCTCAAACTCTTGAGCGAGCTCTTAACCAACTGAGCCACTCGGCCGGCCCTCAACTGGGACTTTTTAATTACCCTAAAAACAGTTACTACTGACAAAGGGTAAATGCTAAGTTCTTCCCTTTATTTTCCAATTTTCAAAGAGTTAGTTTAAAAGCCACCCAAATGGTGACAAATGAGTTTTTTCTAATTTTCTCCTTTGTTTTTTGATTATCAGTTCTAACTTCAGATTTTCATAGAATCAGTATGTTTTTGTTAACTATATTATTGATGCTCAGATTGTACCAGTTTTGGCTATTGGCTGCCGTTTTGAACTGCCTCCAATCTTATCCTGTTTATCTTTGAGGGAATCCCTTACTTGCTGACTCAGCAAGATAATACAGACTTTTTACCTACTCTATCTAGACATGGAGCTAGCTGTTTCTCCAAGGACCCCTGAATGATACTAGAAATGAAAGTCTAGACTTGAAGGATGTCATTGATACTTACTTGGTGATGTTGTTTCTAGGCCCATTCTGTGAACTGAGTTAGAAAATGCATATTTTTTCAAATCATAACATCATTGCTATTTTAAACTTGAACAGTATTCTTACTTAATTTCGAATGCTTGTTTTTTTATTTGTTTGTTTGTTTGTTTTTCCCTTCTTACGCTTGATTCCTTGGAGCAGTCTTGAATTTTAGCATTCATCAGAATGACCTGGACTGCTTGTTAAGCTTGCTGAGCCCAATTGAGTATGTCTAGGGTGAGACCGAAGAATTTGCATATCTAAGTTCTCAGGTGATTTTGAGGCTGCTGCTGCAGACCACACTTTGGGAACCACTGTCTTAGAAGATGGTTTTAAGAGTAAAGGGGTTGAGGCAAATTGCAGGTAATTTAGGAAAAAATAGCCATTTCTTTCAAAGATAGGACATGTACTTTGCATATTTGAGACTAGAATGGAGAAAACCAAGAGGCATTTTGAAGATCGTGGAGCAGAGGGTGTGCCTGGAAGCAGAAGGCTCCTCAAGCTTTGAGGAGTTACCTTTAGAGAAGGGTGGTGTGAGAAGTAGGATATTTAAGATGCCAATATTTAATTTGGCAACAGCTTTTTCATATCCGTGTCTCCTCAGAATATAAAGGAAGGAGGGGGTGGTTTGAAACAATTTGAATCCATTTTTTCCTGATATGTTTTTTATTTCAGATTAGGGTAATTAAACTCCCCTGAAGTCTTTTTAACTATAAGTGACAGGTTAGCTGATTTTAATAGAAAATTATAGGATCTTTGCTTAATTGCTAGTGTTTTAAGTGTATACATAGGGAAAACTTAATCAGAAAGGATAAGAATGAAGTCTTAATTTTAAGTGATTTGACTTTCTTATTTTACTCATGGATCCATCAGAAAACTTGCAATTTATATCTCATTAATAAAAAAGTCTATCTGAAAGCTATTTATTTAGAGCTAATCTTATAGGTAAAATAGGAAATTAGATTATGTAGTCTGAGAAAGGCGTGAGAGACTGGTTGAAGTTTCTGCTAACATTTTTGTCTTTGTGTTCTGAAAAGGAAAAAGTTGCAGTGAGTTACAATTTTATTACAGTTAATTAGGCATATTTCTTCAACATCTTCCCTTTAAATGGGCAGTGCAAGCAATTTTCAGATGTGCTGCATTTATTCAACATCATTAAACATGTTTTAAGTTTTGGGTTTTCTTTGTTTTGTTTTTTTTACTTAAGTGATTTTTTTTTTCATAAAACTTTTTCCCACCCTCTTGAAACCTGAAATATTTTGACCTTAAATAATTTGTTGGATTTTTCTTTTTAAGTTTTTTAGGGTTTGGGGGTGGTGGCAGGAAGTGGTGGGGGATTGAACTGAAAAACACATCATTGTACACATCTGTTATTGTTTTGTGCTGAAATAAAATACCATTTACTGGGCTGCTGAGATACCTGGAGCCATTTTCCCAAAAGGTCAGTGACTCCAGAATGCCCTTCTACTCTGTTTCTTATTTGTCTGCTTCTTAACTTTGATGTTCTAGACAGGCAGGTAATGAAGGGTTGGTTTTTCTGTTTGTTTTTTCCCCGTGTATTGCCATAGTTAAAAACCTTCTGCAGGTGGTTGAAATTGTTGGAAGTCAGTAATCACCACTTCATATCTGCATAGTAACAGCTGTGTTCACACAGATGGCTGTTAGATTCTAAAGTTCTTTTTGAGTCCTCAAAATTTATATTCAGCATATTTATTGGGTTGTCGGAAAAGTCATGATGCATTTTTGCAACGAAAAACAGAAAAAATACGTTATGACTTTTCCGACAACCCAGTATTTTTAAAAATTATTTAAAATTGGTCTGTGTAAAAGTAGAAGTTGTAGACTATCTTCATAAGAAAAGTGCTTCTATGCTCAGTTTTAGGCGAGTTGAACCCCCTAAACACAACATTACTAACCTATTTAATAAAGGTCAGTTTTCATGTGATTTGTAGACTTAATATTTCTGAATCATTAACTCTTAAGCAGATTTTTAAAAAGAACTTTTACTTTTTTAAGTATGCTTGATAAAAATCAATTATGTGTTTTTTAAATATAAGTATGGTGTAGTGATTTTGGAAAATAAAAATTAAGATCTTTTAGGCACATTATTTTTTTCATACTATTGTTCACGAAATGAACCCCATCTGTAGGTGAAAACATTTTTTTTCCAGCCCTTTGCTTTTTTTTAACTGGGAAAATTATTATAGTTTGCAGTTCGTAGCTTACTCCACAAAGAGCATATCTTCCTAATATGAAAAGTGCTCGTACAAAATAAGAAAAAGACAATGGTCAGAGAAGACAGCCCTTCACTTTTTAAAGAAACTTGAAGATGAATCCTCTTATTGAATGAAAGTAGAAGAAACCCACCAGCTTATTGTTTGTTTAATAGACTCCACTAAGACTCTAACATAAGATAAAGAGAAAAAGGTAAAAAGATAATGTTTATGTGTGTGGGATTGTTTTAGTATTGATATATACTGTAATCCTTTATCCTTCTGCTTATTCCAGGTAAATTTATGAAATTGCCAATATTATACAGACTACATGGCTACATTTGTAAATTATTGTCTTTAATTCATAACCAATATAAGCTTTTTTAACTGCAAATTTAATACCTTTTACACTTTTTTTTTAATTAAAATTTATTGCGGTGACAATGGTTAGTAAAATTACATAGGTTTCAAGTGTAACCACCCCCTTACCCTCTGGTAACCACTAAACTATTGTCTATGTCTATGAGTTTTTATTTGTCTTGTTCCTTTGTTGCTTTCAGTTTTATATCACACGTACAGTGAAGTCATATGGTTCTCGACTTATTTCAATTAGCATAATAATCTCAAGATCCATCCATGTTGTCTCAAATGGCACTATTTCATCTTTTCTTATGGCAGAGTAGTATTCCATTGTGTATATATACCACATCTTCTTTATCCAGTCATCTATCAAAGGACACTTTGGTTGTTTCCATGTCTTGGCCACCGTAAATAAAGCTGCAGTGAACATTGGAGCACCTATATTTTTACGGATGTTTTCAGATTTTTTGGGTAGATCCCCAGGAGAGGGATTGCTGGGTCATATGGTAATTCTATTCTTAATTTTTTGAGGAACCTCCGCACTGCCTTCCATAGTGGCTGCACCAATCTGCAGCCCCACCAACAGTGTATGAGGGTTCCCTTTTCTCCACAGCCTCGCCAACACTTATTATTTGTCTTACTGATGATAGCCATCCTATGAGGTGATATCTCACTGTGGTTTTTATTTGCATTTCTCTGATGATTAGTGTGGTTGAGCATCTTTTCATGTATCTATTGGTCATGTGTATGTCCTCTTGGGAGAAGTGTCTATTCAGGTCCTCTGCCCATTTTTTAATTGGATTGGATTTTTTTGTTTGTTTTTGAGTTCCTTGTATGTTTTGGATATTAGCCCCTTATCGGAGGCGTTGTTTGCAAATATCTTCTCCCATTCGCTTGGTTGCCTCTTTGTCGATGGTTTCTTTTGCTGTACAGAAGCTTTTTAGTTTGATAAAGTCCCATTCATTTATTTTAGCTATTACTTCCCTTGCTTTAACACTATTTCTAAAGTGTTTACTTATGCATGTACAATCATGGTAAATTGTAGAATTCAAGAAGATTTGGGGGGAATGGCTTCAACATTACGATAATCAAGATTAGATCTTTTCCCACCCTAATTGCAAAGTTTCATTTTAATTGAGTTATCTCTTGAAGGATTATTTTAAAGTTTAGTTAAAATACCTAAACTAAGAAAGGCATTTACTATATTACATGATATTCTTGCATGTGTGTTCGTTTTTTTAACTTAATTGTAAAGTTGAAGGGAAATGCTTTTTAAAATGTCTTTTGAATCCAACATACTTAAAATAGTCAGGCAAGTTAAAACTTTCTCTTTTCTTACAGATAAAGCTTCACCAAGAAGGTTGCCCAGGAAACGGGCACAGAAGAGATCCGTGGGATCTGATGAGTAAATGTTCCTTTGTGCAACAATTCAGTCTTTATTTAACCTGCCCTAATGTTTTTCGGCCTGATGGGAATTAGTGCAGAGAAGCCATATCACCATAGAAGGCAACTACTACTTATGTGTGGACTGAGCAATCAGAGTCTGTGGCGATAATATTGCTGAAAATGCACTGCATTCATTTTTCTAAAGTAACAAATTTGGTTTTTTTTTTTAAAACCATTAAAATCTATGTGTGTGCGTGTGTATGTATGTGAGCAGTTGGGCTTACCAGAATCATTGTCGAACTAACTGAAGGATGCCTTTAGAATACTACCTATAATGCTACTGTCTCTTCCTTTTTGATATTTTCTCCCCAAAATCAATATTTGCCCAATATGATTATAGATGTTCTGCCTTAGACTGATTTAAGAAAACAATTTGCTTTTTCCTTAGAATAGCTCAAATCCCAATTGATGGCACAAATTAGCATTTTGTTATTGTTGCTGGTTTACAACTAGTATTCTAAAGGCACAAGCAGGAGTAGTTGCTTTTTAGCAATACAATTGTTTTGGTATTTTGCTGTTTACTATAATATGCACCTTCAGAAAACTTCCCTAATGAGTTCAAGGAATTTGGGATCACTAGCAACAAAATTGTGAAACATGAAAGTTCTGCTGATTTTGGTATATAAAATCAACCCCATTCTCTTTTTTATCTAAAAGAAAATGGTATGTTTGTGGAAACTGAGTTGTTGTGTTGTCCATTGTTATTTTGTTTCTGACCCAAGGGATAGCTTCGGGATGATTTTAGACCTTAGTTTTTTTTTTTTTTAAGATCATTTTTCTCTCCTTAATAGAAGCATTTTGCTTAAGAAAAGTTGCCTTGGTCTACAGACTAAGCCAGAGGTCAATTTATAGGGGCAGAGATATAGTCCAACTAATTCTAATTTGTTTAAAAAAAGTTAGTTGGGTATTTTTTAAATGGCTAACCAATTGCTTTTATCTAATCTTTTAGGGATTTTCGTTGTTGATATAAATGTTTTTTAGTTAACCTGAAGAATTCTAAAACTGAGCACTTAAGATCTAAGAACCAAAATGAAATTGGACTTCATAAAATCCTCTTACAGAGTTATGCTTACAGAGTTACTAAATTAAGTTTGGCATTATTGTCAGACTAGATAAAGGGTAAAATATAATAGTATGAACAAATAAGAGGCTTTTCTCTCTGTCTTTAAGCCATATTCTCACGTATATTTTGTAAGAAAATGGTAAAAATGAAATTTTAGTGGCTGTTTAATTCCTGATTGTCTTCATTATAATGAACCGACCCATCTCCATTATAATTCCCACCTACGCCCATGCCCACACAAAGACAATGAAACAAAACAAAACAAAAAATCTTTCCAAGTTGTTAAGTGTTTAAACATCTGAGCCAAAGCCAATGATAATAAAATCGAAGTTATTGTATAGTTATTAATCACATTGCAAGTAGGGGCAAAGGGCGTCCGATTATCTGTGTTGGCGTTGCTGAACTATAAACTTTCTATACCTGTAATATACAGTGTTTGAGTTTTTCATTGGGCTGTATGATCTGTAGTTTATTTTGAAAAGGCTCTATGAGCTCTAAGAAACTGCATGGTTTTTTATTTAATGTAACATAGGAGACCCTCCACCTTCTCAAGGAATATATTCAGAACATTTTTTGTGAATGTCCCAAGTTTGTGAAACTACTAGAACATAATTCAGTGAGGTGTAATTACAAAATTTAAATGACCTCTGGAGATTTCTGTTGAATACCTGGTGATACTGAGGCAATGGCAAAGCCACACTGAGTTACAGGTGCCAGCCCTTCTGACTCCTCAGTAGTTAGCCTCACATGCTAGCCCTTCTACTCCTGAGGTTCACATCAGTGCCTCTGAAATTCTCATGTTTTATTTTTTTATCATAGATTGGGAACACTTGAAAACTCAGATGCCATGGGGTTTTGTCCAGTATGTGTTTAGCAGAAACTAACTCCATAATAAATGGAATTCAATTCCACACATGGTTTGTTCAAGCACACTTGATAAGTAGCCTATTTTTTAAATGTAAATATTTGGATGACGTTTTTGTTTGTTTTGATATATCCATTTGCTACGTCAACTATGGTTTCAGAAATTACCTTTTGAACAACTTGATTTGAGAATCTGTAAAATGAACTAAGAATCTTGTGTATCGATTCAGATGTGTGAGAATAATGTGTTCATAAAGCATGGATCTTGCTTTGGTTGTATAGCTTCATCATTCATTTCACGGTCTTGCGTAGTAAGTGACTTTTAAGACTATTCCTGTCCCCTAAGGTGTTGGAAGGGGAAAGGGAAATGGGAACTCCAAGGTAAAAGCCTGAGGAAAATGGAAATCAAAGGGAAAGGAGTCCTGACTTGATTTTAGTGAAGTCTTTAGTTTTAAATAAGCTTCAGGAAATAATGACTTGGATAGGAAAAGGCAAATTTAGATCTTTAAAAAAAACCCAAAAGATTAAAAAGCCACTGCCTTAAAGGTGTGTTTGCAGTGCATCAGCCCAGAAGTGTATTTTGGCTCTGGAAGAAGTAGATGGGGGTAACATGACAGCGAAACCTTTATGTAATGACTTGGTTATTTTGGAGCTACAGCAGTAGGTACATGTGATAATAGGCAAGATTCTTACAGGGCATTCAGCTCTTGTGGTACAGTGATACCCATACCCTTGGTAGGAAGGAAAATGTACTTGATTAATGCATTTAAATAATGATGTAATTTTTTTTTTTTTTACCATGAACTCGGCAATACACATCTCGCACCAAGATTTTGATAGGTTGCACCCTTGATTTTTCAGCCTTAATATTACTCCAAAATTAGATGTTAGTTTAAATTTCAAAACATTTCCAGGTACATTTGAAGTAATTTACCACAGTTTGGGACAGTATCACCGATAGCTGTAAAGTTAATACATTTGTTCTAATTTTATTAAATAAAATCCTACTTTTCTTTGAACTATCTCCAGCTTAGTAAAGAACAAGTTGACACATAAACAAGGCCCTTGTTACTGATATAGTGGAATGTTCGGTTTTGTTTTTAAGCTGATCCAACATCTAAATAATAGTTTCTTTAGGACTCTTACGAACTTTACTAATTAGTATTTGCATGATTTTTATCCTTTTTCATTTACACAAAACTTGGACTTTTACAGTAATTATATAATTTAAAGCTCTGGAGTTTTTCTAGATTTTGGGATTATTTAGGAATATGGCATTAAGTTTGGGGTACCATTTGCTGCTTTTTTTCCCCCTCAGACAGTAGGAGAGGAACTCATTTATAAAACATCATCAGTCCTGCACTGTGTTGGGCCTTTTCATTCATCATCTCAAAACCACAACATCCCACTGAAGGAAGGTGATACTGTTCTCATTTCATAGATGGAAAAAACAAAGCCTCCTGAGTTCAAGAGCTTGCTCAAGGTCATACATTGAATATGGATTCAGAGCTGTCTTATTCTAAAACACACACATTCTTTTCCTTGCACTATGTTTAAGATAGAAATTTTGTAAAACCAAGCATTTGGGCAGCTTACAAATACTTGGCTTTCTTTTGGGCAGCTTACAAATACTTGGCTTTCCAGAATCCAGCAATCAGTTCAGATAACCTCCATACTGAATATAACACACACACACACACACACACACACACACACACACGTACAGGAGTACAGAAATGCCACTCAATACCAGAACACTGTAAAACCCCAGAGTTCTGAGCTGTTATAAATTGGTTTGTGTGGTATGTATAATTTGAAATTTGACACTTCATTTTTTTATACAATACAGTTTTCCACAATACCCTATTTAAAATCTCTAGCAATGACATACCTCTTTAGATGTCCTCCTGATTAACAAAATCATGGTCTTTAAAAACATTTTCTTTAAAATAGATTTCCTAGTTTAATTGGGTTTTCAAATTATAAAGCATTGAAAGATTCACCTTCTTGTTAGAGATGAGAACGAAGTATCTGTTCCTGGGTTATACAGCCAAATAGTGATAGAACTGGGATTACTGTTTGGCTTCTGTCTTGTCTTCTTTCTGTTCAAATAAGGCTTTCCTTTACTAGACGCCATGGAGCATTAGAAAGAAAATCTATCACCTAGAGATAATGAAGGACAGCCCTCATTTAAAGTCCATAAATCACAGCCAAAGATGATTTGACTAGGGCTTTTTTTGTTCCCCTGCTGCCCCTTATGTAGATTTGTGTTGCAGTACCTATGATAATCTGTCATCCTGTTGACATGTCTGTCTCCCTCTGCTGGACTGTCAGCTCTGTATCTTGTCGCCCATTTATTCTCAGCTTCTAATTAGCAATTATCAGTGGAAACCTATCACAAGTGTTTAAAGAAAGAAGAAAATGTGGACCAGTTTTTATTTGCCATCCTCCCATGGGATGTGTTCAGAAATATTCCTGGTGATGGCCCGTTTCATTGGCAGCTCTGTGAGGTTGCACAAAGGTGGCATTTTATGCTCCGTTGGGGACTAGGACGTGTAGTCAACTCTGGCCTCAAACCAACGGTGACCTTCCGAAGGCAGCTCGCCTCTGGAGTCTTGCTGTGTGCTTTCCCCAAATTGTTTGAATCTGTTACCTGCGTACTTTTACCTCGTACAATGTTATTAAGTGATTTCTTCCTTAAGTATAGTTTACTCAGCAAAAGAAAAAAAAGCTAAGGTGTAGAATGGACTTGTGTCAGGCTGCCTGAGTTCAAATCCCAGCTCCCTCCCCTTAGTTGGAGGCAAGTTACATAACCTCACTGGCCTTCAAACATTGTGTGGCACTTAGGAAGCCATGTAAGTGACTGCTGCTCCTGCTGCCACAAGCACATGAGCGGGGAGTGAATATGCCACTTTTTGGACTTCCATGTGCAGTGACAGTTACATTCTACTGAATAGATAAGGTAAACAGTATTCTCTTTTAACTAAAGAGTAACAGTATTTAGATGGCCATGAAATGTGGCTAGCTCTGAACTTAATAATGAACAGGAGTAATAGAGCTGCCAAGGGGAGTGTTCATTGTCATTGTAAATCTGTCAGAGCCTGCACATCCAATTGAGCATTATCTTCAGAACACTTAGAGAGGCTACGTGTTTCCCAGTGCTGCTACTGCTGTGCAAAAACATTTTTGAAACTCAGAATTTCTTTCGACTTCAGACTGTGAGCCACCCAAAGAGAATCAGTCATAAATTGATTTCAGAAATCTGTTTGTCTGGTCACCTGTCCTATTCACATTGGTCAAAATAGGTGCTCAAGCTCTAAAGGCATTTTAGAAAGCAGTGTGAGAAATATTTTAGTCAAGAATTGATTGAGCAGATGTGTATCACGCATCTGCCCTGTGCCCCTCCACTGTCCTGTAACCCTCACAGCTACCCTAGGCAACCCGGTTATCCATGGAGAAACAGCCTTGAGACGAGAGGCCCCCGCGGCAGCTTTGGTCTGTTGCTCTCTCCAGCTTTGCTGGGAAAGGTATATGAATCCCTTGTCAGGGAGCACATTCACTTTAATGCACAAAATAGACTTACCTGGGTTCTGGTTGCACCTTTTAGGATTTGCTTGATAACTTTCTCTGAGATAGGCATCTGTCTGTCACTGCCTGAAGTCAAGCTGTGTTTATAAATACTCTCAGTGGCTCTCTTGAAAGGACCCATTGCCATCATTCGCGGTGGTCTTCAGTACATGTGGGAACAGGACTTCTCTTCCCTTGAACTCTCCTGGCTTATTGTGAGAGTTGCATGTATTTTAAGGTCTTGCGTTTAATATCTCCTCCTGTTCATGAAGCCGAGTTACCTTTTTATGGCTAAAAATGCTGTTACATGTTTTTTAAACCCGCCCACAAGCTGATGGCACTGTCTCCACCACGTGGGAAGTAAGGTCTAGAGCAGGCTGTCATGTGCTTGTCCCGACGCTGTCTGCACACTGGCGGGAGGACCAATGAATGGCGGGTGAGAATGTTGTCGCTTGACTTTCGAACTTAGTTGACTTCCTCTTGGATAACACACCTGGTTTATACCGAAGCCCCTGCCTAGAATTACTCTCATTCTGGTCACTACGATGGCTTTTCACATGTGGCTGGCTGCCCGGTAGATCTGGTTTCAAGAAGTCCTGTCTGTATGTGTGCTGTCGTGGTCACGTCTAGACAGTGGAGACTTCACTGTGCCGACTGCAGTCTACGCAAGGCCCTCACAGCTGTTACTGACTTACTCCTTGTCACCAGGTCCTGTCTGTCTTCCAGATGCTTGAGAGATTTTATCTCCAGATGTACCTCCTGTCCTATCGCCCTCTCCACCTCGGGCTTCTTTCCTGTTGTGTCCACCTAATAGAAAACCTTCCTGTCTTGAGTCTTTTGCATGATTCTTTTGCCCCCCCCTAGCTGAATTCCTGTTTTGTGTGTTGTTTTTCCCTTTTTGTCAAAGTATCTCCTAAGCTGTTGGCTTCCTTTTCTTCACCAGGCTTTCAATCTTTTAAATTTCCTTCAATTTAGCACTCCCCCACCCCCCCCAAAAAGAGGCCCTGTTCTCTCAGGGTCTCATGGCTCCCTACTTGCTAGCCTTCCTCAGTCTCCGTTCCCCAGCCTTGACTTGTGCATGTAAGTAAGCTATTGAACACCAGCCCCCCAGGCTGCCCATACCTCTATGACCTGCTCTGATCTCCTTTTCGTGTTTCCGCTGAGTAACCCCAAACTCAGGCTCATTGCCCCTCTCTCAGTACTGGCCTTTGGAGAGTTCTCTTGGCAGTTGTCATGGCTTCATCTGTTAATATGCTTATTACCCCAGTCCTAATTTCCTAGACCTAAATAATTTCTTAGTGCCATTCCGTGACTCATTTTCACTTACATCTTTTATTGTGACCCCAAACCAACAAATCACAGATGTTTATTTTCCTCCATAAACTTCCCCTGTCTTGTCATTCATCAGTAAGTGACTCTACCATTTACCCAACATTAAATCTTAAGGAGCCCAAGTCTATTGACTTAACATCAGAATTTCATAAATCCTTAACTAATTTTAGCTCTGCTATGAATTAAATTCGATTTCTCCACTTCAAAATCTAACAATTTAAGAACTTTAAAGAAATCTGAATTCATTCAGTATAGGCAAAATACCTCTGGTTCAAAATATATCTATTTCCTAATTCACTGCAGGAGGTCTCGGGTTTGCTATTTTAATTCTAGTGCTTGCACACTTGAAATATGATTTCTGTCAGTGTTTTAAT